AGGGTTCGGCTCCACGTAACAGCCAGCCACCCCTCCCCCCTCCAAAAAATGAAACTCCCCCCAAACAAAAACTATTTGTTTCTACTCACACTTTATTCCTAGCACCTAACCCTGAGTATGGTACATAGCACACATTCAAGAAATACTTGTGTATGAATGAAAAAAATGAATGAAATCTCATGTTTTTATACTCTTCATTGTGGGAACTGGGTCATTTTTGCTTCTACAGTAAAGATTCAATCACTAGCACTACGGAAGAAGGACAGATAGGAGACATACTTTTAATATGGCTCTAAAATTAAAGGGCCTCTGGAATAAGCAGTACCTGAAACTGGTCCATGTAAACATCCTCACGGTCCTGAAGAGGAGCTCTGGGCATTACCTCCCTCTCATTTCCATCAGTGACTGCTATCTGCAATTTGTGTTGCCATTTCCTTACCTTTTATCAATATTCAATACCTTGTAATTAGTTTTCCTTTTCTGCCTCTCCACTAAAATCTCAAATGGTAACTTTACTAAGAAAAATTTTGGTGGAATACTGGGAACAGAAACCATAAAGAGGGAAATAGTATAAACAGAAAGTGTAGACAATTCTCAGTATCACTGGCAGTAGTGGAAGAGTTGGCTTTGAATATCCTGTGATTAGAGGGAATGAGAAAAGGATGGATGAGCATGGTGGTAAGTTTGTAAAGGAAGGGAGGGCATATTTGGGGCAGTTAATGCCTTATGACTTCAAATTTCTCAATGAAACTGAAACCAAGGTGGTTGGAGAAGTGGGGTTAAAAGAAAGGAGTTGGGGCCGGCCTGTGGCTCACTCGGTAGAGTGCGGTGCTGATAACACCAAGGCCACGGGNACTGAGGGTTGCAATCCGTTGCCGGACACGGAAAAAGACAAAAGACCAAAAAAAAAAAAGATGCTATGGCAGTAATTCGGTCAAGACATGATGCAGGCCATTCCAAGGGAATACCAGTGGGGATAGACAGAAGGGAAGTGAGCAGGTGTGGCTACAAATAGTGGAGGGTTCCTGTACTGCTGCTTTTGAAACTGAATTGCATTCTCAAAATAAAATATCTGATGTGAGTCCTAAAATACTGATGGGAAGGAGAAGAAAAGCAGAGTTTAATATGTAAATACAAATGGCACCAGGATGGTTTAAGTTCACTCAGTTTCTAGTCACTAAGTCTTCCCTAATACTTAGAGCTCCCCTTGGTTTCTGTATTCACATTGTCAGTTTTGAGCTAGTGATAGGAGAGGCATAGAAGAGATTGCAAAGGAAAATAACACTGAGACTGGAAGGAGGAAGGAATGTTATTATGAGTATGATACTCGGCTGTTGTGACCTCTGGAAACTGTTTCTATGAAATACATGATTGCTACATTGATACTTCACAAAGCATCATGTTGATATTTTTGCAAAACAAAAATAGAAGACTTACAATATTTTCACATTTAGGTTTCATATAAGTGTGCAAATGATTACAAATTATAAAATTGCTTGTCAATATCAGAAAAAATAAAGCATTAGGAACACAAGGTTTTCCTTACCAGAATGGAGTGCATTCCCATGTAAATTCTACTTAGGCAAACTATAGAACACCAGCCGGAAATAAGAATCAGTCCATATATAAGAGGATACTAAAGGGGGGGAAAAAAGTAAAATTAGTTAAATAAATTAAGTTAGACATAAACAAGCAAATAAAAACCAAATTGCTATTCTATAAAAACTCCACAAAGGCTGGTCAATCAGCTCAGTTGGTTAGGGCACAATGTTATAACACCAAGGTCGAGGGTTCGGCTCCACGTAACAGCCAGCCACCCCTCCCCCCTCCAAAAAATGAAACTCCCCCCAAACAAAAACTATTTGTTTCTACTCACACTTTATTCCTAGCACCTAACCCTGAGTATGGTACATAGCACACATTCAAGAAATACTTGTGTATGAATGAAAAAAATGAATGAAATCTCATGTTTTTATACT